TGGGTCTGAACAGTAACCCGTGGTTTTTCTTGGCTCTACCGATTTGTCTCTTTTCTGCTGCATTCATTTCTACCTTGGGGGTCTAGGGATATTCCTTCTGATTTTCCATGAGAGCAGCAAAAACCTGTAGAAGCAACAGGCCCAGAGGACCAAGGAAACTAAAGAAATATGAGTGGCCCGAGAACTGAAAAGGCCCTTCAGAGACTGAGATCCCTGGGAATTGACATGGGTTCTTTTCATTTTAGTAACAGCGTGGACATAACCATGTGCTTGTCCTGTCTGAAGTGCTGTTTACCTCCTAGTTGGTATCCCAGAAGGTGGACATTATTATTATTTTCATTTTACAGACATCGAAATTGAGTCATAGAGAGGTTAAGTAACTTGCCCAAGGTCACATACGTCTGAAAGGAAAGAGTTGGCACTGGAACTGAGGGTTCTTTTGTCCATGAGTTTAACTTAAGTTATACTGCTTTTTGGTAGCCTGAGTGAGTGGGTGAGGGAGCGAGTCAGCGAGTGAACAAGTGAGCCTGGAATTGAGGCCCTTGGCCAGAAGCACTGACCACACTGAGAGGCAGTGTGCAGTTGAGTGTGTGTGTTCGGAGTCAGCAGAGTTGGGTCGGTATTTTAGATCCGCCACCTCCTGGCCACAGCTCTGGGCAAGTGACCTAATTCAGAAATGCTCATTTCCTCATCTAAAGTGAGAGTACTAACTCTCCTAGAGTGGCTGTAAAGACTAAATCACGCCTGGTGTAGTGGCACACACCTGTAATGCTAGCCCTCGGGAGACTGAGTCAGGAGGGTTGCCATGAGTTTGAGGCCAGCCTGGGCTGCATAGTAAGACCCTGTCTCAAAAAAAAAAAAGAAGTGAGATCATCTCCACAAAGCTCTTAGTCTGTGTCTAGCATGTAATAAGACTCACACACGTTGACGGTTGTAATCGTTATGAACATGTCATAATTGCAGCATGTAAAATTGAAACTGGTAGGCCAGCCTGGGCACACTAGCAAGACTCTAGACTCTCCTCAGTAATAAAAATTAAAGTTAAGTAATTGGAGCTGCATTGACACGAACAAGAGGGGAATATGACAGCAGCTGTTGGATGACTAGAAGGAAGTAGGAGTCTTTTCTTGAATGCCTCATCATTTCTTAATGTTTCTAAATGGCACAAATAGAAATACATGTAGCAGGTGCTCAGCCTTTGCATGTGTGAATGAAAAATAATACGGTTTGTTTTTATTGGTTGATCCCATTGCTTAAAAGATCATGTCTTAGGGGCTAGGGATTTAGCTCAGCAGCACAGCGCATGCCTGGCAAGCGTGAGGTTGTGAGTTCGATTCCTGGTACCGGAAACTCCCCCTCACACACACAAAAAAAATCATGTCTTATGATGTAGATGCCCCTGGAGGGTTGTTATACAAGAGGGCCTGTGCAGAGGAGTTAACACTGCAGCATTAACCCTGCATTGAACTTAGTGGGGATTGAATACATTTGCAATGAGAAAAAAAGGGACTTAAAAAAAAAACTGTTTTATGACTATTGGATATGGAAATATGATAAAATTGACTTAAAGTATTATATGCTTATAATTTCATCAATGCTAGAGGGATCATCCCAGTCAAAAACAAAACAAAACAAAACTGCAAAAGAAGTAGACAGTATTGGCAGTGTTAGATTGGGCATAGTGCCAAATGCCTGTAATCCTAGCACTTAGAAGGCTGAGGCAGGAGGATCTCTGTGAGTTCAAGGCTAGCCTGAACTGCATAGTGAAACTATTTCTCAAAAAGACAAAAAGAAAAGAAAAGAAAAAGAAAGAAAAAAAGAAAGGTTGTTGGTGAAATCCAGCATCTTTGCTCTTTGCCCTAAGCAGGTGGGTTGGAATTTAATTCTTTGGGCATGGGAAGCAAGAGAAGTCTTCTTTTTTTTTTTTAGACAGGGTCTGGCTATGTTGTTCAGGCTGGCCTTGAACTCATTATATAGCCCAGGTAGGTCTTGCACTCACAGCAGTTCTCCTGCCTCAGCCTCCTGAGTGCTGAATCACCGGTGGCACCACAATGCCCAGCAAGTCTCTGTAACTGATGATACTTGTTATGATTTGTGCCTGCTAGAATCTCTGGCAGGATGGACCACATGAAAAGAGAGACAAACTGTCTGGAAATACACAGTTGGAATTTGAAAAAAATTAAGTTGTTAATGAGCCCTTACTAAAGTCAAACATCTGACCCTTTGATGCTGAACATTTTCTAACCTGATATTTTTGAGTGGGCCAATGTGGAACCTTTTTTTTTTGGTACCAGAAATTGAGCTCAGGACCTTGTGCTTGCCAGGCACGTGGTTGTGCTGCTGAGCTATATCCTCGGCTCTGGAACTGTTTTTGAGACTGAGAAGATGAAGAAGAAGCCTTGCTTGACACTTGGACTTAGACCACAGCTGTTTGGCATTGTAGCATGCTTTTGCTGCAGCCCAAGAAAAGTACTCTTTGTCTGGAATCCCATAGTCACAGGTCCTAATTGCCTGGACCTGACCCCAGGCTGAAATCCATTACTGTGTGCTGTGAGAAGTTCAGCACCAGGAGTTCAGCTGCTTCTAGTTAGCAAGGCTGGACTGGATCAGACCCTGGCCTAATGAACAGGACCCAGACTGGGACATGGAGGGGTAGGGTGCCTTTGTGGCTCTCAACCATGAAAGCATCCTAGATGCTGGTTGGACCATCTGGCTCACATAGCTGCTCACAGGGGTCCTTAAACTTAGACTGCCTAATATGCATCCTGCTTGGAGCACCCTAACATTGTCAGTTCTTTGTTTCCAGGAGTACTGCCTACACCCTCTGAGAGTGTGGAACTTGACCCTGATCATGTGACATTGTCTCAGCCCTGGAAGGTTTTAAGGTAGCTTCCACTTTCCTGTGTTGTTCCTAATTGGGGCCTTGGGTCAGGTAAAATGGTTCTTACGGAAATTTGAGGAACCTGGCTAAGATAGACTTTTATGATTCATGGGATTGATTGTAACTGGCTGTAAATCAAGACTTCTAACAAGTATAACGGAGGTCCATACGTAGGCTGGCCTCTTTTTTATTATTTTTTAATTTTAATTTTAATTTTCTTCCGGTACCGGAAATTGAACTCGCGACCTTGTGCTTGCCAGGCAGGTGCTGTGCCGCTGAGCTATATCCCCGGCCCTGGCCTCTTTTTTTAAAGGTAACCTTTTTGCAAGGATCCTATTGATAGTAATTTTGCTGAAAGGAGCCTCAGCAAAGAGGAAGGCTATTCAAAAATATATAATAAAGCGGGCCTGAGATTGTTCTCCTTAGAAAGACCTGTGTGCCTTGTTTATCTGCTGATTTTGCTTCAGAGCCCTTTGTTGTAATAAACCATAGCTGTGTGCATAACTACACGTAGGCCTGTGACTCTCCCAAGTGGGAGGTGGGATTTGGGACTCAGCATGGGGACCAAAGGACTTTGGGGGTCTTGGTAGCATCTTCTTAGTCTGGGTGCTAAGGCTGAACACAGGCTTGTTCAGTTTGTGAAAATTTGCTGAGCTGTACACTTAGGAACATTTTCTCCGTAAGTATACTGCATTTCAATAAAAAGTTCAAGTAAAGGATCGCACACTGTGGGGATTTTTAAAAACCCAGACCTTTTATTTCAGTGCTTAGCGATGCCCCTTTTTACCAGGCATTTTGCTTTGACCTTGGGACATGGGTGGAAAAGACAGCATCCTTGTCTCGATCTTCATTGAGAAGCTGGTAGGAGAGTTTTACAGTGCGATTGGGTTTTGCTCTGTCAAGGACCTCACAGGGCAAAGGGAACTCAGAGCTGCTAATTTGGGTGCTTTGCCATTCCAAGGTTCCTACCGCCACGCCAGCAGAAGCCAGGCGGGCCTGTGGGCTGCAGAGGTGGCGGGAAGGGTGGCCCCTGGAAAGGGGATGTGGGCCTGAAGTGGCTAGACCCTCTAATGTTTTTTCAGAAAAAGCTACAAATTGGAATTTTTATGAGTGTTTACTTTTTAAATGCTGTAAGTACAAAGTTTAAAAAGTAAAAGGTCAAACAAAACACGCTTTGCAGGACCAATTTGGCCATGGCTGGAAGCTGCCAGGCACCGTTCCCAGCCGCCTCTAGGCCCTGGGGGTACGGCCCGCCAGCTGGGCCCCTGCGGGGGTGGGGCGGGGCGCCCGGTGCCTCTCCACTGCACTCTTCGCAGGAATCACCTGGGCGGTTGTGTTTAGGGCCAATTCCGGCCCGGCAAGCCGGGGTAGGGCCTTTGCCTTTCTAACGAGGCCCAGGTGACGGTGATGCCTCCGGTCTCCGGATCGGAAGCCGCTGGGACTTCAGAGTAAGCACTGAAATAAAAGGTCTGGGGTTTTTTTTAAATCCCCCCAGTGTGCGATCCTTCACTTGAACTTTTTATTGAAATGCAGTATACTTACGGAGAAAATGTTCGTAAGTGTACAGCTCGGTATATTTTCAGCCCCTCACTTTAAATTTCGAAGTGAGGCGTGCCTGACGAGCGTCCGCTTTTGCTTAGGTTTTAGCGTACGGGGTGGTTTGGCAGACGGCGGAGGCAGGTGCTCTCCTGAACCTGCGTCTTGGCGCTGCCCGCTCTCTGGCCTTAGTTTATATTCTAGAAGGCAAAGTGGGCTGGAGGGTGGTGTTGGGAAAAGCTTCCAGCGGCGGCGCGAGCGAACTGCGTGCGGGCTCTTCCGGCCGCGGCGGAGGGCGAACCCGAACGGACCACCGCTCCCGGGGCCGGGCCCAGCCTTCCCCGGCCGAGCAGCGGCTCCCAGGGGCTCCCGCGTCGATCAAGTTTCCTGCCGAGCTGGGTGCGAGCCGCAGGGCTGCGGCGCAGCAGGGCGCTCCCATGGTGCCGCGCGGCGGGCGGGTTTGGATTTTAAATCCCTACGGCCAATCAGTGGCGCGCAGGCCCCTGTAACGTTCCCAGCGCCGCGTTTGAATTCGGGGCGGAGCGGAGCCGTGCAAAACCTCTGCACCGACCCTGCGTGGTCCGCGGAGCAGCGCCGGGAACATGAACGCGGCGGCAACGGCAGGGAAACTGGCGCGGGCCCCAGCTGACCTGGGGAAAGCAGGGGGCCCTGGGGCTGCAGCTGCCGGGGCCCCAGCGGCTGCTCCGCCGGCGAAGGAGATACCCGAGGTCCTGGTGGACCCCCGCAGCCGGCGGCGCTATGTGCGGGGCCGCTTTTTGGGCAAAGGCGGCTTCGCCAAGTGCTTCGAGATCTCGGACGCAGACACGAAGGAAGTGTTCGCCGGCAAGATTGTGCCTAAGTCTCTGCTGCTCAAGCCGCACCAGAAGGAGAAGATGTCCATGGAGATCTCCATTCACCGCAGTCTCGCCCACCAGCATGTCGTAGGCTTCCACGGTTTTTTTGAAGACAACGACTTCGTGTTCGTGGTGTTAGAGCTCTGCCGCCGGCGGGTGAGTGTCGCAGCTGGGGCACTGGAGGTGCCTGGGAGCCTGGGTTGGAGTGCCCGGATACGGAGGTACAGGGAGGGAGTTCCCCGGAAAGGGCGCCTAGGACTTGGAGGTCCTAGAGCGGTGGGGCTGGGAACCCCGAGCTAGGGAAGAGCAAGGCCTCTGGAAAGAAGTGCGTGGCCCGCGGAGCTGCTAGGGAAGTGGCTTCCGGTTAAGTGCAGCCCGAGTCGTGGTGCTGCTAGGCAAGGTGGCTCCAGGACGCTAGGTCTGGGGGAAGGGAGGGCAGGCAGTAGACGATAGAGCCCAGGAGTTGCTAAAGGAGTCTCCGGGCAGGGTGTAGGGGTGCGAGTTTGCAGGATAGGACTGGGTCAGAGGATGGGTGGTTGGACCCGACCTCAGAGCTTCCGGGTAAGAGAGGGATCTGGACAGCGATCTGCTGGGAGGAAGCCCGGGAAGGGGATACTGGGAACTTGGAGCTCGGACCCAGCAGGCGAGGCCTGTTGTGAGTGATTATGACCACTGTTCAGGCAGGGTCCTGAAGAAGGAATGGAGAGGAGAGGACCTGTCGATACTCCTTCGTCCCCTGAGGGCCCTGCTTTAGCTCTGGGCTGTCTCTATCCAGTAACCAGTGTGTTTGGGCCTCATACCGCCTCCACTTCACCCTTCCCTCCCCAGTCCCTCCTGGAGCTGCACAAGAGGAGGAAGGCCCTGACGGAGCCTGAGGCCCGCTACTACCTGCGGCAGATTGTGCTGGGCTGTCAGTACCTACACCGAAACCGGGTCATCCACAGGGACCTCAAGCTGGGCAACCTCTTTCTGAACGAGGATCTGGAGGTGAAGATAGGTGAGATGCGGGGCCTACAGGGGTGCTGTCCTCACAGTTCAGGAGGTGGGAATGAGGAGGCTAAGAAAGGAAACCGGAAGGATGGGGAGGGAGGAAGAGGATGGGGGAGTCTAGACTGTTCGCTTTTAGATGTCTCTTCAGTCCAGAAAATTAAAACAAGAGCCCACAAGCCAGCATCTTGCCTTCAGGTGCATTAGTCTTGTGCCCCAAAACAGTATTTTTAAAAAGAATTTGAATTAGTTTTGGAGGTGGGTGCCTCAGGAATGCTAAGCAGACACTCTACCATAGAGCTACACTTCTGACTGGTTTCCATGTTTTTAAAATTGGAAGGCTTGATACAATAATTGGCACGTGGAGTGCCTTTAAAAATGTAGAACTTGATCAACACAGGAACGGCATTTCCTTGGGGTGTCTTTTTGCTGAGCTTCAGATTCCCCGATTTGCCGTAGTGCCCACTGCTCTATCACTGTGTGCAGACTTGCCAAGTAGCAGTCTTGAAGTTGATCTGCTTGACCCCCAAGACAGTTGAGCTTTGCTGTCCCTGTCAGCTCTCTGTTGGTGCATAGCCCTCCTTCCTCGGGAGGGGTGAGGAAGGTCAGTGGGAGGCCTGTCCCTGGAGCCAGGCAGCGGGAGGACTCTGGGGCAAGCCTTGCTGCACACATGGAGCAGAGGCTGTGGGATCAAAGGACGCTGGTGCTTGAAGGTCAAGCTTGAGCCAGCTGTCTGCTTTGGCAGATGGCAGAGGCTGGCACTTGAGCACCCCTCTTCCTCCCTCTGTCCTAGGGGATTTTGGACTGGCAACCAAAGTGGAATATGACGGGGAGCGGAAGAAGACCCTGTGTGGGACTCCTAATTACATAGCTCCCGAGGTGCTGAGCAAGAAGGGGCACAGTTTCGAGGTGGACGTGTGGTCCATCGGTTGCATCATGTAAGTGGGGAGTTGTCCAGGACCGATGCAGCCTCAAGGGGCCCTTTTGAGACATCTAACCTGACTGACCTTTCACTGCTCTTTCTGCCTCGGGGAAATTTTGTTCTGAAGGACGTGTTGCTCCCAAACAAAGCCTGACTTCCATGTTGTTCCTCGTCACTTTGGTGTATCTTGTAGGGCCCCGCAGCAGGGGCTGTGGGTCAGGGGAGCGGGACAGGGCCTCCACAGCTTTGCCCTAGCTCCTTCCTGTTTGCTCAGTGTGGTCTGCACATCAGCACCAGCGGCGTCTGGGAGTTTGCTACCGTGGCGGAATCCCAGGACCTAGGTGACTTCCTGGACCACAGCTTGGATTTTAGCAAGGCTCACGGAGGCTTCTCGTGCATAATCTAGAAACATTGATCCACACTGGATGGAGAAATTCAGCCTGGAATTACAGCCGTCCGAAGGGGGGCTGTGGTGTCAGGATCAAGACTGGGGCGGCAGAGGTTTGGGCCTTCTTAAGTTTTACCTTTTTTTTGTTGTTTTTGGTGTGAGTGCTGGAGAGTTTGACACGAATTGCAGTGGTTTTCATACGTATTTGTAGTGGGGCTTTTTCTCCAAGTCACAACTACAAGTCTGAAATACAGAAGTACTAAACATGGAGCTCCTGTGGGAACAGGTGGCCCACCCACCTTGGCCTGCTGGGGGTGCCCAGTGGCCCCAGAGGCCCGTGCATGGAGTCCTTGATCACTGCAGGCTGGAGTTGGACAGTCTCTGCCCACTGAAATCCAAGTCTCCTCACCTCCATTTACCTGAGAACTGATCTAGCCAGTCATTCTGGGGGCTGCTGAGCAGATGTGGAGACTGTCCTCAGGGGCCTGTGAGTTAGTGTCCAAAGGATGTCTGTTCTGCCTGGTGTCTCTGAGGCAGTTCTTCCTGTTCTGGGGCTTCTTTGGGACCCTTGAGCCAGATTCCACCTTGTGCTTACAGGTATACCCTGCTGGTTGGTAAACCACCTTTCGAGACCTCTTGCCTGAAAGAGACCTACCTCCGCATCAAGAAGAATGAATATAGTATCCCCAAGGTGACTAACAGCACTTCAAACTTGCTTCTTTTTACTGTTCCTCCAAAGCTATATCCTGGATAGAGGTAGATAGTCCTAGCCCTGGGGGTGGACAACAGCTTTGAGAGCCTGTGTCAGGAATTGTCTACAGAACTTGATGCATATGTACACGTAAGCTTTTCCGGGAGAAGAGTGTTCCTAGATTTGCGGAGTGCCTTGGGCACAGTAGGTGCTTGCAGAGTTGTGAACCGATGTGAAACCAAAGGCTTCCCAACGACAACACGGTGTTCATTTTTATAATCACGGGCATAGGTGCATTTAAAGGAGTAGCCTATTTCTGTAGAAGCCTGGCATGCAGCCATGTTCCTATGTGGTGTCCATGCCTCCTGTGAAACCCAGAGCCACATTTCTGCAAGGACATTTGGAGAAAATGTCATGAAGGGTCATCTCACTGTCAGCATGCAAGATTAGGTAGGTGTGATTCCTCTGTATTCTCAGACATGGGAGTTAATCTCCCGTGCCTCAGTGTTCTCAGCCATAAGTGAAGGGTGATAGGAGAGACCTCTGCCCCTTAGAGAGTTTTGTGAGGGCCAAATGAGTTAATCTTAGAGCACTTTCCCGGCACACAGTAAGTGCAGAGTTAATGCCAGGCCGTTCCTAGGCCTCTAACCTGTGCGAGGTGATGTCCCAGTGAGTCTTCCTAGTGGGACTCCAAGCTCGTGCTGTGTCCTCATTCTATAGGTGCAGGTACAAAGGTCCTAGAAAGCCCAGGTTACTTACGATGGCTGGTACTAAGAGACAGAACTGGAATTTAAGTACAGATCTTAGGATCTCGAGGCCTATATGCAAGTGACTGTAAGTGTGTAAGGCAGACTCGGGAAAAGATTACCCTAAGTTAATCTTCAGTATCAAGAAGAAGGCAAAATGATCATTCTCACAATTTAGGCAGGCACTTGTGGATTCAGTAAAACCAGTTGTGGAGAACTTGGCCTTGCTTATGGCTCCGAGCCGCGGTGTCTGGGGACAGGAGTGGGGGCCCAGCTGGGCTGCAGGCCCTCTGTGGCGGGGCTGCGCTTGGGCTTCCTGTCACGTCCCGCTTAAGGCTTTTGGTCTGCTGCAGCACATCAACCCCGTGGCTGCCTCCCTCATCCAGAAGATGCTGCAGACAGACCCTTCTGCCCGCCCAACCATTCACGAGCTGCTCAGCGACGAGTTCTTCACTTCTGGCTACATCCCAGCTCGCCTCCCCATCACCTGCCTCACTGTTCCGCCAAGGTTTTCAATAGCTCCCAGCAGCCTGGACCCCAGCAACCGGAAGCCGCTCACAGTGCTCAATAAAGGTAAAGTGGTCTGGGTAAGCTGGCAGGGCCCAGAGAACCTGGCTGGAGGTGTGTTTGTGGCTTGCTCCCTGCTCTCCAGAGCTTGGCTCTAGAGTGGGACAGCCTTCTCTATCCTTGAATCCTGGGCCCTGTTCCCTTCTCACCCTGGGTCAGCCCATTGGGTCTAGGAGGAAAAATAGATTGAATGCCAACCCTGAAACAGTGATCGTTTTGATCACTTTAAAAGTCTTTAATATGATTCTTGTGTGGCTCACTAAAAAAGTAAGAAAAATTTCATGGTATGTGTAGAACAAAGGTGATCAAAGGATATGGTGACTGCTAATGATTTTATTGCAGTGTAGGACACATTACCATTAATCCTCCTCTGAACAATCCCCCTCTGCTTCAGACACACTTAGCAGTCATTCTTGGAAATGTGTCTTTTACTATAACAAGTTTTTTAAAAGTTTAACAATTACGGGGCTGGGGATTTAGCTCAGCGGCACAGCACCTGCCTGGCAAGCGCGAGGTCGTGAGTTCGATTTCTGGTACCGGAAAACAAGAACAAAAACAAAAAAACCCAAGCAAACAAAAAAAAAGTTTAACAGTCGTATTTTTGATTGCCCCTTATAATGCAGTAGACTTTCCCATGTGCCCACAGTTAGCAGGATGTTACACATTTGCTCCATCTGCTCCTTGCTGTTCCTTTGTAAAAGACCAGCACTCTGCCATTTACCCATGTACACTTCAGTATGTATCTCTTTGAAAAGATGGACATTTTCTTATAAAACCACTTGCTGCTGCTCAGGTTTCTCTGTTTCTGGTCTGTTCAGAAGACAGAAATAGCAAATACATGTTTATGTGGGAACCTTATGTTTATATTTCTGATTCACATATTTTATCACTAAAATATCACAGTATTTTAGTTTGATATTAGTCCAAGCTTACAGAAATGTGGAATATACAGAAACTCCTGTACCCTCACTTTTTTAGATCCAGCAGTAATGTTTTCTCCACATGTGCTTTATTAGTCAGTCTCTCTTTGTCTGTGTGTTTTTCTTCACTGTCTCACTCTCCATATATATATACATATCTTGTCCTTTATTCTCAATACTTCAGTGAATATTTCCTAAAAACAAAGATTCTTTTACATATGTACACTACATGGCAGATACCATTATCAGATTCAGGACATTTAACATGGATCCAATATTGCCTTATAGCAATGTTTTAAACTACTCTATAGTTACTGCTTTTCTTTCATTTTAAGTGTCTGATTCAGACATAATATGAACAAAGTTTTACCTCTTTGATTCTATACTCATAAAAATATCCTGCACCACTCACCAGGCTCTCCTTGACCTCATGACCCTCCTGCTTTAGCCTCCTGATGGCTGGGATTGCAAGAGTATGCCACCGTGCCTGACTTTGCATTTCTTTTCTCTTAGATTGATATATTTTTCCTTACATTAATGTATTTAAATTTTTTCAACATACACAAGGTAGTTTCTAAACAATGTTTTATTTTCCTTGTCCTTAGAATATATTTTTATATTGGGGGCTGGGAATTTAGCTCAGTGGCACAGCGCCTGCCTGGAAAGCGCGAGGTCATGAGTTTAATTCCTGGTACCAGGGAAAAAAACAACAACAGCAAAAAAAGAATATATTTTTATATGTAGGATAGATAGTTTTTTTAAGGGTACCTTGAAATTCTCTATTCTTCTGTGTGGATATACCACCAGTGGTATGCAGCTTAAGTTCATTTGTTTTAGTCAGTTGTTAGGTATCACTTGATTGCGTTGTCTTTGTGACAGAATAATATTGGGCTTAGACAGAGAAGCTGGAAACACAGTAGAGCGGAGAGCTCCCATACACCCTTCATGGGTCTTCCGCAGTGTCAGCTCTCACTTCACTATCCGACAAGACTAAGGCAGCGCTCCAGACAGGCTCCAGCTGTATCTGCACCTAGCGTCTTTCCCCTTAGTACCCCTCGTTCTCCGCCAAGGTCTGACCTCACCCCCCCGGCAGTGAGTTAGCAGTCTCCTTAGTCTGCACCCGTAGCAGCGCCCTACCCCGCGCTTGTCTGTCGTGACCTGGACACTTTAAAGGCCACAGGCGAGTGACTTCCTACAGTGCCCTTCGGTGTGGACTCGGTGCTTCCTCCTGATGACCCTGAGCGGTGCATCCTGGGCAGGAATGAACGAGGGGCGATTTCTCAGTGTGTCACGCCAGGAGCTCCTCTGCTGCGTATGGGTGACGTTAAACTGGACCACTTGGTGAAAGCGTCATCGCATGGATTTCCTTCTTGGAAAGTTACTATTTCCCCGAGTGGTCAGTAGTTAACTTGAGGGGAATTCCTTTGAGACTGTCCTGTTTCTTAAACTCTTGCCCACTAACTTCAGTACCAGTGAGTGGAAGGTAGTTACAGCAGTCATTACTGTGATTCTCTGAGGACTGAGCCCAGGGCCTCCCGCATAATATACTGTGGTATGAAATGGAGTGGTGGTTTTTTCCCTCTCTCCACTCCTGTACTTTAGTAATGGGAATTCTCTAATGAAGCACTGTCTCATCCCTCCCGTTTATGTGGCTGGTCCTGTCAGTAATAGACCCGTGCTTATCTATTTTATTGTTTGAGCTATAATGCTGTTACTTTAAGAATGGCTTTTTTTCATGTGGTTTTACTTTTAACTTAATGGAACTGTGAAAATATTTGTTGTGGAGAGTTTCAGGCCTCCCAAGGTAGATGGAACTGCCTTGCACGTTCTTGTGTGTTCTTCGTCCATTCAGTGGTTGGCAAATTGGTCAGACCTGTTTTTACCCGTTTCACCTCCTTCCCATTTTTTGCTGATGTTTTAAATGAAACCTCTAGTATCTTACCGTTTCACACTTAGCTTCGGTCGTAACAGGGTTTTTTGGTTAAATTGAAAACTTCAAAAAATTTTTCCGGGGGCTGGGGATTTAGCTCAACGGCACAGCGCCTGCCTGGCAAGCACAAGGTCATGAGTTCGATTCCCAGTACTGGAGAAAAACCAAAAAAAAAAAAAATTTTTTTTTTCATATTGCATAAGGAGAATTAGCACCTGGTGGGGGGAATTAAATAATTAAGCAAAAAGAATAAAAATCATGTATTCTCATATTACCCAAACACAACAAATATTAAAATTTCAGTATATTTCTTTTTGGATTCTTTGGTTATATGTAAGTGTTATATGAAGTAGATTTTGGATGGAACGTTGTATACTTTCCTTTAGTGCCCATCGAGCGCCCCCTGCCGACGGACTGTCGTTCGCTTGCCTTCTCATCTTTCCACATGCTGAACATGCCTCTAACTCTTTGCTTGGAGCAGGGTAGCTCTGAGCTGCTGGTGCCTTCAAGCTGCCCGTCTGAGTGACCAGTGTCCTGCGAGGCCTCGCTGTTGGGTCAGGGGCCCGAGCACCTGAAGCTCTATGGCCTCATGGTGAGCACCACGTGTGTGTCGTATGCGCATGGCAGCTGCTGCGTTAATAACCTAGCCCTGACTCCATTTCCCCAAAGCAGTGGTAGCTAGAAGAGCTTTTCTCTGAGAAGAGTGCCGCTGTGGCAGAGAACACCACGGGCCTTCTCAGCCCCCCACTTCTGTGCCTGGCTGATGAGCGTGTCGCCTTCCTAGGCGTGGAGAACCCTCTGCCTGAGCGCTCCCGGGAGAAGGAGGAACCAGTGGTTCGGGAGGCAAGTGAAGCTATCGAGTGCCAGCTTGGGGACATGCTGCAGCAGCTGCACAGTGTCAACGCTTCCAAGCCTGCAGAGCGGGGCCTGGTGAGGCAGGGTGAGTGCTGCGGGCCCTGGCGCATCTGGAGAAGGTGGGCAGAGTGGTGGTAACTTAGCCAGGCCCTTCCTCGTTATACCGTGGCTCCCCCGTTTCCTGCAGATGAGAATCCACATGAGTTAGCCTGACATCCAAGTGCTCCAGGGTGTGGCTTTTGCTTTACTTCATCTTCTGGTGCCCTGATCGAGCACCTTGGTATATGTGCACCGATACATTCTTTCTGCTCACTTCCTTGAGACGGACCCGGATGAGCTCTGTCCCCCAGATGAGCCCCATGCCCCGGATGAGCCCCATGCCCCGGATGAGCCCCATGCCCCGGATGAGCCCCATCCCCCGGATGAGCCCCATCCCCCGATGAGCCCTATGCCCCGGGTGAGCCCCACCCCCCAGGCATCTGCCTGGCCCGTTCTTGCCCCTCTTGGTCCCTGCTCCAGCAGCGATCCCCTCCGTGACCTCCACCTGGCACCCACTGCTGGCCCTTTTCAACCCCCGAGCGTGCTTTATAGTTAGTTCTCTGAAACACTTCAGCATATTCCACAGTTTCTTTCTTTGTTTAGTTGATTTGAAATACTGGTTTTGTTGCAGGCACCAAACATAACATTTGGGTGTATTTGGGATTCTCCGTTCATTCAGTTTCTTAATCTTCTAAATAGGGAAACTAGGCAATCTGATTCTTACAGTGTTAGAAGGCACTTAAGGTTTTGATCATACTTTTCTTTTTTTGAGACAGGGTCTCCCTATGCAGTTCAGGCTGCCCTTGAGCTCACTTTGTAGCCCAGGCTGGCCTCGAACTCGCAACAATCCTCCTGCCTCAGCCTCCCGAGTGCTGGGATTACAGGCATGCGCCACCACACCCGGCTGAGTCTACTTACTGTAATTAGTCTCTTTTCCTACAGTTAGAATTTGAAGTCCATGCAGCCTGGGGTTTTGTGCCCACCGTGCCTGTGACAGTGCTGGGAAGGACAGCTGGGCTTGTGTGCTGCTCTGTAACTTTCTGCTTAGGTGTCCGTGCTGCTTCTGTCTGGGCTTACTGGCGACAGAGGCCCTGCTGTGCCTTCTCTGGGGCCCCAGGCCTTTCGACAGCCCAGCAGGGCCCAGCAAGCATCCTGGTGTGGGCCACGGGAGCAGACGCAGGGGAAGAGGCTGTCTGGACAGTAGTCTCTGTTTCTGTTGCAGAGGAGGCTGAAGACCCTGCCTGCATCCCCATCTTCTGGGTCAGCAAGTGGGTGGACTACTCCGACAAGTATGGCCTGGGTAGGTCTCTTCCCGAGGGGCTCGGGTGGCCGCCTTTCGACCCTCTGGTTGTTGCAGGCTCTGGCCCGTTGCGGCTCCCAGGTCCCTGCTCAGCACTGTGTCTCCATCTCAGGCCTCCCCTCTAGCCCCAGTGGCCCACTTCCCCTCTCTGAGGTCCCCCTCCCTGCCTCCAGGGTATCAGCTTTGTGACAACAGCGTGGGGGTGCTCTTCAACGACTCCACGCGCCTCATCCTCTACAACGACGGGGACAGCCTGCAGTACATAGAGCGCGACGGCGTGGAGTCCTACCTCACCGTGAGCTCCCACCCCAACTCCCTGATGAAGAAGGTGAGCGCTGCTGCGGGCCTGGCTGTCCCTGCACGTGGGGTCCGGCCAGAGACGGGCTCTGACTGCGGAACCCCCTCCCCAATGCCCAAGCAGATCACCCTGCTCAAGTACTTCCGCAACTACATGAGCGAACACTTGCTGAAGGCGGGGGCCAACATCACGCCGCGGGAAGGCGACGAGCTGGCCCGGCTGCCCTACCTGCGCACCTGGTTCCGCACGCGCAGCGCCATCGTCCTGCACCTCAGCAATGGCACCGTGCAGATCAACTTCTTCCAGGTAGCGGGGCAGGACAGGGCCCGGCCACGTGGGCGGGGGTGCGTGGGTGCCTGTCCTGGGCAGCAGGCGGTCCCCACGCCCAGTCAGGGCGTCTTCCTCCCTCGGCTCCCCGCAAGCACAGGCGGCCAGTCTCTTCAGCCCCGCCCCTGCCCGCCTTCCTTCCAGGACCACACCAAGCTCATCCTGTGCCCGCTGATGGCGGCCGTGACCTACATCGATGAGAAGCGGGACTTCCGCACGTACCGCCTGAGCCTCCTGGAGGAGCACGGCTGCTGCAGGGAGCTGGCCAGCCGCCTGCGCTACGCCCGCACCATGGTGGACAAGCTGCTGAGCTCGCGCTCCGCCTGCAATCGTCTCAAGGCCTCGTCCTAGCCTCCCCGCTTGCCCTGTGGACTGGTGCCCCTCACTCCAGCAGCACCAGGGCCTGCGCTGCCGGGCTCTGGGCTGCATTTGTCTCGGGCCCCCGGCCGGGGGGCTGGGCGGGAGCTGTGTCAGCCTTGCGGGTGGGCTGCTAAGTTATTTTTGTACATGTTCAGGTGTGGGTTCTCCAGTGTCTGCCCCTTCCCTTCAGCCCACCGCATGAATTGTACAGACATTTCTGTTGAGTCCAGGACTGTCCTTTCCTTAGCTTTATATACATTAAACATGTGTAAATCTGCTTTCTCTTCTTGTATTCCCTGAGGGTGCCGGGGCTTCAGGGCACGGCAGCTTCGCAGCCATAGCCCGCCAGCCGCTGCCGGTCTTTATGCTAGGCCAGCCTCCGCCGCAGGCCCAGCTTCTTGGCTGGCTGGGGTGGAGGCCACTGGCGGCTTCAGCTCCCTGGCAGAGGCCCTGGCTGGGAGGCCGGCAAGTAGTAGGGGAGGAACAGGCCCTCGGAGGCACAGCTCCGCATGGTGCGGTGAGTGTGGAGGAGCAGCCTCGGGAAGCGGCGGGTGAAGTACTGGACGAAGCTGTCGGGGACGCAGCCGAGCACCTGCTGCACCTCGGCGGGGAGCTCTCTGTAGTGGTGCTTCTGAGAGCGGGAAGAGTGGGACCCCGGGCTCAGCTGTGGCGGGCCTCCCCGGGTACAGGCCCCACCCGGACCCTGGAACACACCTTGTTCCGCATGGCACGAAGCAGGTCTCTCACTGATGTCCCCCTGTACGACCGGAACCTTCTCAGATCTGTGGGCAGAGAAACGGGCTGCAGAGGTGTCCCTGCTGAGCTCCCCTCCGCCTCCGGGGCCCACCGAGTGTGGCCACTACCTGTCTGCAGTGGCACGGAGATGTGCTGGCGCCAGTTGTCCCGGACCACCTTGCAGCCTCCTGCCTCCAGTGCCGTCACCAGGGGACCCCACTCAGACTCCTTCTCCAGCCAGTCGCTGACATCCTAGGACCCACAGAGTCCTCAGCCTCAAGGCAGAGGCCCTAGGACCGGGAGATGTGTGGCTTGGGGGTGGGGTGCAGCAGAAGCCTCTTGGGTACACGATTTTCTGTGCAGGCCTCCATGATACTCAGGGTCCTCCTGGGAGGCAGCAAAGCGGGCGGGGGATCGGCCCACAGGCATAGCGCGAGCGACAGCTTCGGGGAGAGCTGGTGTGTTCCCAGACCGAGTGCTAATGTGGAGATGGGGCCAGACCGCCTGGGCCAGGTGGTATTCTTGTGCTCCCCCAGCTGCTCGGGCATCCCTGGGCGTCTTTCTCATCACTCAGACCTAAACTTGGGTTGTTGGAGATCATTCTTAAGATTTCCCTCTGACCTGGAAGAACTGGAGCTGCTTGGCTCTGCTCCAGAAGAGGGGGTGGGCCAGCACCTGGTAGGCAGAGGGGCGGGCCTGTGGCAGCGGGCTCAGCATGGCTTCAACCAGGTCCCGGGCCAGCACCTTGTCTGGAGGGCAGGAGGAGAGGGATGCATTAGTCCTGCCTGGCCTTACGCCTTTCTAACCCGCCACGTGGGTCCAAGTCTCACCATGGGCCTCTTCCTCCAGATGAGCCAGACAGGGAGTCCCTACAAGGATGTTGGCCTGGCGGCAAAGACTCTCTCCAAAGGGGTGGCCACCCCTGGAAAGCACGTAATAGAACACACAGCCTGCAGAGAAGATGTCCACAGCGCTGGTCTGGAGCCAGAGAGACAGATGTAAGAAAAGGAAATTAGTTTGGCAAAATTTTCCCCGGGCCCGTCAGGCAGCCTGGGGCTGGTTCAGGGTGGAACTCTGTCTTCCTGGGCATCATCTCTTGGCTGTAGATCCCACCCCCAACACTGCCCACGACTCATCCCACCTTTCACCCGCTGAGGTTCTGGTTTGGGTGCCCCGCTGCTGTCCTGCAGAGTATGCAGGTAGCAGAACTGAGGGAAGCTGGCTGGGCGTGAGGCAGTAGGTGGGCACCACTGACGCTCAGCTCCAGCTGGTTGGCACCAGGAGATTCTGCCAGGGTGGCAGGGCTAAGTTTTCCAAGAAAAACCCAGAAGTCCAGATTTTTCTGTGGGAATTGCCCAGTGTTAAAATTCTGGCTGTGAATTAAAACAACCACGCATTTAGTGCCTGGGTCCTTGGGTCTCCACGCCACCGCCTAGAGCTTGCTTTTGATTGCAGGAGCGGGAGAGGCTTTGCCTGGTGACTGCTTCTGTGCTCCTGTCATCTATGCTGGCGACTTCAACTTGCACCCATATGCCAGGACTATAGCATCGATAATCATGGGGTCCCAAACCCAAGTCTCCATGGAGGCCCGATGCTCTGTTTCGACTACGTTGGCTCGTTTTTAGCTACTACTCTCCAGAAACCTCTGACTGGCTCTAACTTAAGTAAGAGCCACTGTACTGGCCTGGGCATTCTTCCTTGTTTGTTTTCTTCTGTGTGCCGCAGTGACTATAAATCACAGTGCGGACTGTTTTCTAGTTCAAGTTCTCTCAGCCTTCGCACATCCGATGTTATGGGCCAGGCGGCTGTCCTGGGCACTGTAGGCTGCTTTGCTGCACGCCTGCCGATGCCACTAGCACTCTCAGTCAAGACCCCAAAAATGCCTCCAGACATGGCCTAATGTCCCCTGGGCGGCGAATCGGTCCTCGAGTGAGAGCCGCTGCTCTGGGTGAGGAGGGGTAGGTTACCCTCCTCTGTGCAGTAAGACAAAGAGGAGGCTTGCAGGAATGGCTCGCCCGCACAGCTAGTGACCTGGAGCCACATCGGGAAGGGAGCGGGACAGGAAGGGAAGCTGCGCCCTCAGGTAAGGGCAGACTCACAGGGCTGTCCGGGGGCTGCAGCTGTAGGAGCTCGGGTGCCATCCAGCCCTCCGTGCCGGGAATGCCTGAGCGGAGGCTGAAGCTGCAGCGGCCGGCCGGCAGCTTCTTGCAGAGGCCGAAGTCTGAGAGCACCACCCTGCCCTGGCCCTGGCTGTCTGGCCCGGCGATGAGGATGTTGCCCGGCTTCAGGTCGCGGTGCACTGTGGGCGGGGAGCGGAGGGAGCTGAGTGCTGGCGGAGGGCGGGACGGGGTGGGACGGGAGGCAGGGCCCTCGGGTACCTATGTGTAAGGAGTGCAGGTGGGCCAGGCCCGACGTTAGCTGCTGCAGCACCATCCTGGGCTCCAGACCCCAGCGGTCCGGGTCAGGGCTCTCCACGTACTGAGCGCAGTGAGGGCAAAGGTCAGTCTGCAGCTGGGGGTGTGCCCACCCTCCCTCCGCCCCGGCTCACCTCCTGCAAGGACGCCTGGCAGAGCTCCAGGGCAAGGTAGTGGAACTGGGGGCTCCGCTCGGTGCAGAAGTAGCGGAGCACGTTGGGGTGCCGGTCGGACTCCTGCAGCAGCTGCACCTCCCGCCGAACCAGGCCGAAGCACTCCCTGAGGAGCCGCTTCACAGCCACTGCCCGCCCCTCAAACTGTCCCCTGAGGGTGGCAGGGGCGAGAGCGCATAAAGGGACAGGTCGGGCAGGTGAGCGCAGGGATCCACCTGTCCGCCCGCGGGGTTGGGGAGGGTGTGTCCACACAGGCCGCAAGCGCCCGTCTCCACTCACCGGTAGACGAAGGTCCCGCCTGCCCCGCGCCCCAGCACGTCCTTGGGGTGGAAGGAGATCTTCCCCACCACAGTGAGCTGCCGGGCTGGGAGAGAGGAGGTGGCATCCCTCTGCTGGCTGCCCGGAGTCGCCTCCTCTGCCCGCCTCTCCACCCACACCTGACCCAGCCCAGGTCCACCCTGAGCTTCCGAGGGACTCCCACCCTCCCGTGCTCAGCCTGCTGCAGGGCCAAGAGGAAGGGCCCAAGGGCCGGCCCTGGGTGTGGGGTGCTGCCCCCGGCTTTCTGTGAGTCCTTAGATAAGTGCCCGAGACACTGGCCTTTCGTCTTCTCGTGTGTAAAGCAAGGCTCACGTTAACAGCCTCACGCAGTATTAACATGAGCACTAAACATATGGAGTCGGGTGTGGGTGTGCACACCTGTACTCCAGCTGCTTGGGAGGCTGAGGCAGGAGGACCACAAGTTCAAGGCCACCCGGGAACTCAACGAGACCTTGTCTCAAAAAATAAAGAGGGCTTGGGAAGTAGTTCAGTTCGAAGGCCCTGGGTTCAGTCCCCAGTACTGCCCCTCCCCTCAAAGAACACAGGGAAAAAAGGGGTGAGTAACGTTGGCAGCATCATCTTTGGGGTAGCTTCCGTCCTGCCTTCCCTCTCTACGTCCTCCGTCATTCTCTGATACCAGTTCTACCTCCATCCACTCAACTGATGTTGAATCCACGTCAAACAGGAGGGTGGATTTCGGCAGCAGAAAGGATAACAGCGAGCACAGCCCCAGAAAGACGGCCAGGTGGGGAAACAGGGCGCATCGGGGTGCTACGTGGATGCAGAGCCGATTCTAAGGGGCCAAGGAGCCCCTGGAGGCCTTGGCTTCCTGCGAAGATGGGCTGGGTTGGATCAGGAGGGCAAAGCTCTTTTTTGCTAGTTATTGCTCCTCCGTTTGAGTAGCCTGTGGGAGGCTTCACCCCCAGATCCAGGCACGTGCCCTGCTCAGCCCCAGAGGCACTGCATACGGCTAGCTACATGTGTATGGCACCCCTAGAGCCGCGTAGTGCCGGGCCCCTGAGATTCTTCTACTTAGGAAGAGCCGTTAGCTTTGCTCTCTACCATCACCTCTAGGAAAAGCGAAAAAGCAAACGAGGATCAGCATTAGGCACCGTGAGAAAAGCACGCAGCCGTGCCTCAGTGGTGCTCTGCATTATTTGCCTGAACATTCATTCTCACTACCTGCAAGGTGCAGGTGGTGACCTGAACTGGTGAGCGCTGGCGTCTCGGGAGTGGGCAGGCTCGGGACCTGTGGGAGGCCCGTCAGCAGTACTGTCTGGGAGCTCAGCAGGGACAGTCGCTTGCAAGCCTACTGGGGTAAATCCTGCTCGCCTGACTCACCTTCCCAGCCCCTCTCTGTACCACTTCCTGGTGGGTTCCTGTTCTATTGTTTGCCTACCTTCCCTGTTCCCCACGCCCTGGGTGTGGGGTAAACACTGGCAAAGTACTTGCTGGGTTAAATATTCAGTTGCACCCTCAGCGTTAGACAGAGGCCAGCCTTATGGCCATGAACGCCTTAAATAGAGAGAGCAGGAGCTGGGGAGACTTAGCCTGCACACACAGGCCTTTGTCCGCCTTCCGCATCATTATAACGGAGAGGTAGCAGATGCAAGAGGTAAGCGATAAAGCAACCAAGAGTTGCCAGGACACAGGGAACTGCTGTACGGTCAGAAGTACCTTGGAAGCCCTGAGTGCACAAGACGTCTGCTGCTGCTCTTACAGAGGCTGGGAAGTACTTAGCTCATCACACTCTTCAACAGGGGTCTGCCAGCATTCAAACGGCAGCAGCCCGCTGCGGCCCATTAAGAGCACACACGGGAGCCAGCTGCCCTGCATTTTACCCTTCGAGCTGCCCCTTAGCAGCTTTGCGAGCCTGGCTAGAAGGGGAGGTGTGATTAAGTCCTTCTGTTGCTGTTTCTCTTCCATGAAAGAGGCATTATCAAAGAACACACCTCACAGGAATGCTGGGAATACCACGAGTTCACGATGCTTGGTGGTTAGAACACTGCCTGGTACACAGTAAGCACTATATAAATGCTTGCTCCGCTTCAGGGTTGCTTGTGCCCACTTGCCATTAAGTATTCAGTGCAGGTGGCAGTCCTGAAGGAGGCCCAGCCAAGCACATGTAGATGGATTGGTGTAATGGAGTAGGATACTGCTCGCTGTGGATTCTCTGAGCCTTAGAAACATCCCTCAGGAATGTCACTCTCCCCACCAACATGGGAAGGCCAAGATTTCCCAGAGGAGTTCCTGAGCTGAGCACAGGTGTCCAGGGAACGTAACAGGCCGCCACCGGCGCTGGTGTGCACTGGTTCTCCAGAGCCTTTGCCGGTAGGCACATTCTGACTCTCCCTGGGCTAAATCAAGATGTTAATCCCCTGGACTCCAAACGGGGAGGTGGGCAAACCCGGGCTCCACTGTAACTGCCTGTTCCTCGCACCTGCTCGCCGCACATTCCTTCCAGAACCACTATGAGAAGCATGGCTTTAGCCTCTCCCGCGTTCCAAGTCCCTGACTCAACAGATGCTCAGTGAGCCTGCACTGTCCTCAAGGCCCCAGGAGGAGCAAGACAGGCACAGCCACTGCAGGAAACTACAGGACAGCGGCTCCCTACTTTGCCACAGTCCCTACCCCTCCCAATGGCTCGCCTGCATTTCCACTGCATTCTTCTATTTCATCCCCTTGGCCCACCCTAGTGCAACCCTGCCTTCACTTCCCGGGTGCACATCTGCTTCCCTACACCCCTGAGTTTTCGTTTGTGCCCCTCTCTTCGCTGCACACCTGGAGAATCCCTTCGTATCCTTCGGGGCTCTCAGCTTACACATCACTTCCTGTTCTCCCGTCTGCTCCCTGCAGCTCCTCAGCTGACCCCACCATCATGGCCTTTATCACCTTCATGGTACTTGGATTTTTTCTTTTCTGTCTTTTTGAGACAGGGTCTCGCTATGCAGTTTGGGCTGGCCTTGAGCTCACTTTGTAGTCCTGGCTGGCCTTGAACTTGCAATGATCCTCCTGCCTCAGCCTCCCGAGTGCTGGGATTACAGGCTTGCGCCACCATGCCCGGCAACTGTATGGTGCTTGTCTGTTTGTTCCCTATAGGCTTTGCCTAGAGTTCATGAAAACGCCACAGGGAAGATTCACTGCCATTTCAGGCAAAGAAAATGAAAGAAATATAAAGGTCTGCTTTATTTTTTTTTTAAAGGTTTGCTTTAAATGACAGAATATCATATTGTATAGAGTTTCTTCCCCCTGCTGAGTTTAATAAAAAGGTACCAGGCTCTATCTGGGTCAATCTGTTTTATTCTCTTATTTTCTCTTGCTCCAAAACATTGATCTCACCCTTTCCCTATGAGAATTTTTGGTATTTGGCTGAGCTAGATCTGGGATTCAAGGTCCTCTTTTTTTTCCTCCTTCCTAACCGCTAGAGGGCATTGTGTGTGTGTGTGTGTGTGTGTGTGTGTGTGTGTGTGTGTGTGTGTTGGAATTGAATCTAGGGCCTTTATATGTATCGCAGGCCTTTTAAAATTTTTTTATTTTGAAACAGGGTCTCGCTAACTCACTAAGTTGCCCAAGCTGGGTTTAAACTTGTGATCCTCCTGCCTCAGCCTCCCAGACTGGTGAGATTACAGGTATGCACCATCACACCTGGCTTCTGGAGAATTATTACTATCCACTGATTTAGACAGCACATGAGGACACTTCTGGAGAAGGAATACCCATCACAGCAATGACTGGGGTCTAGTGAGCTGGGGTGGGGGGGCAAGCATGGGAAAGTGCAAGGAGGAATTCGATCAAGACTTTGGCAAAAGTCATGCTGGGAAAAGATGGAGCCTGTGTTGTCTGTGGAAAAACTAGCAGAGTTCACTGCAGAGGCAAAAGGTCTGGAGAAGTGAGAACTTGAGGTGTCATGGGAATTACCTGGACCCACTGTGAGCCAGTGAAACGACAAGATCTACAATACCTTGGGCTCAGGCACCGCTGCTGTACACTCCCACCTCCATAAACTGACCTTGGAGTAGGGGAAGTGTGCAGAGGTGCAGTGTGCAAAGCCCTGGGCTTGCTCCCCATCAGAAAACAAAGCAAAGCAGGGCAGAGCAGAGCAGACCCCAAGGCAGGAGAGACATTTCCCTCTTAGCAGAGGCCTGAGCCGAGCCACGGCCAACGCTGGGGACAGCGCTACCGCACCAAGCCGGGCGCAGGTGACTGACCGCAGGGTGCACGGTGTGGGGAGGTGGGCTGGGCAGCAACCGCGAGGTGCCGGCTCCTGTCCACAGAGAGACCAACAGACCCGCAGCCAGAGCCGAAGGAGCGAAAGCCCAGACTCACTCACTGAGGCTTGTGCAGAGCTCCCAGGGGCACCCCAGACACCAGAGGACACTTGGGAGGGTTCAGCTGAGAAACGGTGGGAGAAATTTTGAAAATCGTACCTGGGAAATTTACTCTTACTATAACCAAATACGATATTATTTTAACATATGCAGTGATAACATCTCCTCGGCATGATTTGATAATGCTGATGGTAGCCTCTCACGCTGAGGTGATAGATGAGGTGGGTGTTATTATTCCCATTGACAGATGACAAAACTGAAGCTCAGAAGTTAAGTAACTTGTCAAAGGTAAAAAAACAAACGGTGGAGCGGTGTCTACACCCAATTCTTTCTACATCCAGATTCCAGTATTGAAAAAAACAATAATAAAGTAATGATAGAGGACACTTCTAGAGTGCCGAACTAGCCAGGTGTGGTTACATATACCTGTAAATCTCAGCACTCGGGAGGCTGAGGCAGGAGGATCGCTGTGAGTTTGAGGCCAGCCTGGGCTACAAAGTGAGATCAAAGCTGACCACATAGTGAGACCTTGTCTCAAAAAAGAAAAAGAAAAAAAATAGAGCACTCCACTGTACAACACTGTCAAAACACCCTCTTATCCTCTTAGCTTGTTCAGGCTTAGCCATCCATGATAGTGGCTCCTAATCCACTGACTTGGAATTAAATTAAATCTGCCCCCCCTTTGTCTTTGTCTCTGGTTTGGCCTTGCCTTGTTGACTCACCCTCAGGATCGCAGGATGGCAAGGCTTCTTCTGAGGGGCTCTGAACCCTCTTCTGGCCCTTCGAGGTGGCCCCGGAGGCCTGGGCCTGAGCACCCTGTGGGACATCGGGAGGGCCTGCAGGTGCCGGGGAAATCTGCGGCTCCGTCTCCACCAACTGCTGCTGCTGAGAAGGGAGGCTTAGGAGACCTTAGTCCCGGCAGGGCTGCCCTGTACCTCGGACGGCCTCGCACTGGAGCGTGGGCTTCAAGTACAGGGACAGGGCTCAAGGAGGGTCTGGGAGGAAGGCAAGGGGCAGCTGGAGAGCAGTGATGAGAGGCTGGGAAGTCCTGGGGAGAAGGAGCAGAGTTCTCCTAGGACGGGCCTGAGGTCAAGGCGATGGGCTTACCTGCCTCATGAGGAAGAGAATCCAGCCTCCCAGGAGGGCGGAAGTGAGCACAGCTGCCAGCAGGTCTTGGTATCCCAGCCCTGGAGAAGAGACTAGAGTTTTCTCTTCAGGATGCAGCTCCGAGTCCCACAGTTCCTCCTGGTTCAGGTTCAGGACCTGAGGACAGAGAGGCCTTCGGTCTGGTGTCCCCTCCCGCCGGGGAACCCCCAACTCTTCTTCAGGCTTAGCGGAAGGGGCCGCAGGTGGTCGCCTCTGGCGGGAGACGTGGCGCTCTCCGTGGTGCTGAAACAAAGGGTGCCTGAAAGCGGTTTGCCAAACCTAGCAGGTGACCAGCATCTCCTTGATTATCCCTTAAAAAACACAATTATGTACCTAGAGGGGTGTGGTAGCATTTGCTGGTAATTCCAGCACTCCGGGAGGCTGAGGCAGGAGGATCGCAAGTTCAAGCCCTGCCCGGGTCAGAGTGACTTAGCAAGACCCCATCTCAAAAATTAAAACAAAAGCAAAACAAAAAAGGGGACTGGGGATACAGCTCAGAGAAAGGGCCCCAATACCACAAAATAAATACATAAAACAGGCTACAGAGGTAGCTCATTGCAAAGGTTCTGGGTTCAGTCCCCAGTACTGCAAAACAAATAAACAGATATTCATGGGATGTTACTAAAACTATAGATACCCACCTCTAGAGATTAGGAATTGTGTGGGTCTCAGGTAATTCTCAGGTACAAGTAGATTTGAGGATTTCTGTTCCAATTCAGCTGTTCTTTCTAAACCTGAGCTACTTACTAATGCTTCTTATCCAACCCTCTCCCAGGAGAACATGATTTTATAGTTTTTCTGTTTTCAATGTCTCACTTGATGAACACGGTATTTTACAATGCTTACACTGAAGAACAATAAAGAAGAAAAAATGAGCTATGCTGCGTGATATCTTTTTGACACTTCTAACACTTCCTGCAGTAACAACAACAAAATATTCATCTTCTGGGAAACTACATGAGGCCAACTGACTCTCCATGAAATACTGCTTCTAGGAGCCTGAGGAAAAGGTCCAGGGACTGCCCATCTATCTGGTCTCCTCCCGGCCCTCTGCCCTTCTTTACTGACCCCCAAGAAGGGAGCCAAAGCATGGGTGCCTTCCGAAGGTCTTGTCTCGGCGGTCCCTCTGCCTGGGGCAGGACGGACCCGCAGCATGGTGGTGTGCAGGACTGGGGGTGGCTCATGGTGTCCTAAGGGCAGTGATAGCAAACAGTCAGATGGCTGAAGCCCTCAGTCTTCCACTCAGAAACTGGGCTCATAGGTTCTTTATTTTTCTTCCAAATTGGAGCCGGGAGACCTCACCGATGAGCAGCCACTGGCTGGGGAGGGCCACACTGCCCGAGGGGTATCTGACCGCAGTGCTGGGCGACCCCTCTCGCTCCCCTGAGACTTGGAGTGTCACCTCGTCCGTGGTGGGGCCGTCCACGGGGGCCAGGGTCAGTCCGCGGGGCTACGGCAGAGGATGAAGAGCCACGGTGAAGAGGCTCCCCCCTCCTCCGTCCCTCTTTCTAGCCCATTCATGGGTCATTTCTCACCACCAGGGCCACCCCTGTGTGGACCAAGGCTTTGGAGACATAGAAGCCAGCTTCGTCTTTCCCCACGTACAGTGTCATCCTAGTGGGAAAGGAAAGCAGAGCAGAGGGTGAGTGACGGGGCGGGCGGTTTTCAGGTGCCGCTGTACCCAGGGCCTTGAACAGGCTCATATCCCATTGACTCCGGGCTTGGCTACGTGACTTGCTTTAGCCATATCAGTAGCACATGTAATACCGACAGAACCTTAACATATGCTTGGGCCCTGGGGCTCACCCTCCGGTGTTGCTCTTTGGAACCCTGAGGCCACCACGTGAGGAACCCCCCTCCCTAACAAGGGATGAGACATCATGTTGAATAGAAATGAACTATTCGATTTGACCCTCCAGAGGCCAAATGGTCTCCCAACTCTGAGACAGGTGAGACCACCCCAGGTCATTGTCTCTATCAAATCACCAGCTGACTTGAGAGAGCAGAGAAGCATCTACTAGCCAACAGACTCTTAAAAATAGAAAATGTTCACTGTTTTTTTAAGTTCTAAGTTTTGGGGCTGTTCGTTACGGTGCAAAAAATAACTGGTACAAATTCTTTAGTCACACCGGGTGTGGTGGTGCACGCCTGTAATCCCAGCACTCGGGAGGCTGAGGCAGGAAGATCGGTGTGAGTTCAAGGCCAGCCTGGGCCACAAAGTGAGCTCAAGGCCAGCCTGAACTGCTTAGCGAGACGCTGTCTCAAAACAACAAAACAAAACAAATTCTCTAGTCACAATTTCTATGGCAGGCCCAGACTTCTTTTAAAATCTCAGCTTTCTGAATCGGAACTCAACACTTATTCTCCATCTTCTTGTTTTGTTCCCTGCTTTTCTAGCTTTCCTACTTCTAAAAATGGCTGTGCTCTTGTGCTTCCCGGAGCTTGAGTGTGACCCTTGACTCCTTGCTCGCAAGAACCAAACTCCTCAGCAACAAATTCTAACTAGTTTTTCCTCGGGGCAACTTTTATCTTCTACTTATTCCCACCTCTTGTTTTCCTACTCTCGTCCAAAGCATCACTTTTGCCTGAACTAATGCGATGTTCTACAGCTGACCGTTTCTCTAGGTGCTTCTCTTTCATCACCCTAAGATACTCTTCACATTGCAAACACAATGAACTGTGTGAAATGAAAATATGAGCAAATTGCTCTTTGTTTAAAATTTTCCAGCTGGGCATGGTGGCGCACGCCTGTAATCCCAGCATTTGCGAGGCTGAGGCAGGAGGATCACCATGAATTTGAGGCCAGCCTGGGCTCATAAGCTAGTTCAAGGCCAGCCTGAACTGCATAGTGAAACCCTGTCTCAAAAAAATGAAAAAAAATTTATTTTCCAGTGGATTCTCCTTACATTTGGGAGAAAATGCCCCAAAGTTTCAAATAATCATATAAAATCTCTCTGCTTAACTTACAGCCTCAGACATTACCCTCTTCTCAGAGCTATGCTTCAGTTTTATTTAATTTTTTTTTTTTTGTACTGGGAATTGAACTCAGGACCTTATGCTTGCCAGGAAGGCACTGTGTGGCTGAGCTATATCCCCAGCCCTTCAATTTCTTTCTGTTGCTGGACTGTATGCTTTCTCCTTTAGATTTCCTATTTACTTTTAGGTTTCAACTTAGCTGTCCCCTCGGGAAGCTTTCCATGACTTCTTCCTGCTCCCAGTATCGACCTGGGCATCTTTCCTACACATTCTCATTACACTCTGGACATCCCTTGTCTTTATCACACCAGGTCATCACTGCCTGCCTACATATCTGTCTCAGTCCCTAGACCCTGAGATTCTTTTTTTTTTTTTTTTTGTCTTTTTGAGACAGGGTCTCGCTATGCAATTCAAGCTGGCCTTGAGCTCACTTTGTAGTCCAGGCTGGTCTCAAACTCACAATGATCTTCCTGCCTCAGCCTCCCAAGTGCTGGGATTACAGGCATGCACCACCACCCTGAGATTCTTGTAGGCAGAAACAATAGCTATCTTTCTGTACTCCCAAGACCTAGCAATTGATAGGCACATAGTATGTGCTCAGTTAATAGCTGTGGGACAAACTGACCGAGCGGACACTCCCTGATTCTCCCCATCCGTTTCCTGACACCGCAAGATGGAAGCGCTAAAGCATTAGGTGGTGTAAGGGAAGGTGGCACTGCCCATACTGAATAATCAGTCCGGGGCAGCACCCGCAAGTCAGAAGAGGTTGAAATCTAAAGGGTCCTTCCTAAGCCAGATTACGCCCTACCCAACGCTGACTGGTGGGACTGTTTGGGGGATTCTGGGGACAATTTGGGGGTACAACATTTCGATCGCTTGGTTCAGCTGTATTGGGGGCCATGGTTCAATATCACGCCCACCACTACCCATGGGCCGCAACACTTCTGGAAGCTCCTTCCCCGGGTCCCAGTGAGGGACACTTACAGAAGCTGCGTGTCTGAGGCAGAGAAGAAAGTGGCTGCGTCCTGGGCGCCTGAGGCAGGCAGTCGGATGTGGCCCCAGCGGAGAGCAAGAAAATGCAAGGTGTCCCGAGCCAGCGTGAGGTGGGGCAGCTGGTGCAGACCGTCCTGGTGCCAGGTGTAGACACCCGTCACGGGCACGCCCAGGTCCTGCGTCCACAGAACCGCCCCACTTCCTGGGTCCACAGTTAGCAGCAGGCCCATCCCGCAGGAGGCCAGGTAGCTCACATCTGCCAGGAGAGACAGCTGGGGAGACGTCAGAAAGTTCTCAAGGGAGGCACCTGGGAGCACCTTCATGGAAGGTCATTTAGGTGTGTGGAAGTCAGGTGAGGCCGCGGGAAAGTCAGCCAGAGGTCACGGGGACCAGTCAGGGTCATCCGCAGATCACTCGGCTGTGCGTGTCAGTCTGGGTCACCGAGAGAGACCTAAGGACTCAGAGACTCAGCTACGGCCATGGGACGGCTGATGTCCACCCAGGTTGGTTGCCGAATGGTCCAGGGGTGTGGGAGTCTCTTGGGAGTCACTTGGAGTGTGAAAGGGCCAGCTTGGGGCCCTGGAAGGACATTTGTAAAGTGTCAGGGTTCCCTATGAGGATCTTATGCCAACGATAGAGTCAGGGTTTGAGGGTTTTCTGCCAGGGACACCTGTAAGGTACCCAGGCAGCTGGGCAGGAGGGTCATAATGCCAAGCGGATGGTCAGGGGGGTGATTTGGGAAGAGGTCGCGTAGGGCCATCTGTGAGGGCCACTCAACATGTAGGTTAGGGTATGTGTGGGTTGCTTGGGATCACAGGATGTGGGGCGTCACCTACAGCTACCTTGTTGGGGTCATTGAAGCATGTGGGGTTTGGGTAGTGAGACAGGGTACATGCGGGTGAGCCTGGGTATTTTGGGGGTCACTTGGAGTCACGTGCCGGGAGTAGGGGTTAGATGCGTCAGAAGGTGGGCGGGGCTTGGCCATGGATGCCGCTCAGGGATCCTTGCATTTGGTGTCCTGCTCCAAGGTGGGGCCAGGGAAAGGCGGCACTCACATTTCCCAGGTGAGCCATCCACGGGCGGCGCGGAGTAGCGGCGGTACGTGGTGTTCCAGCGCAGGGCTGGGGTCCTGGGGTCGTGCATGGTGACCGTGTACTCTGGAGAGCCCAGGCGCAAGGTTACCGGAGTGCTCGCGCCGGGCTCTCCTCCCTACCCCGCCCCCAGGGGCTGTTCACTTCACGGGGTGACGCAGACCCGTCTTGTTTATTGCTGCACCCCCAGCTCTTCACTCAGTGCCCAGAAAAATATCTGTTGATGCCTGACAGACCGACTCAGTTTGGATAGCCACTGCCAAGTCTGGACAGAGAAAGGGGCGCTTTCCAGCTGGACTCACGCGTTCGGCCGATGTACAGGTGGGCGGCAGAGAGACCCTCTGTGGTCAGAGCCGTCTGGGTCTCCCCTGACTCAGGATCTACCACAAACCAGGCGTCCTGCTTCCGGCCTGTGGACACGGAGTTGGCCAGCTTCCAGGGCGGCGCGGGAGCGGGCGCATACCCTGACGCTCCTGTGCCGGGCTGGTCTCTCCCGGCGGCCCCAGGCTGGGGAGATGCTTACCTGTGTAGAAGACCCCGTCAGAGCTGCGGCAGGGAGAGGTGTGAACCAGCTCTGGGATGGTAAATGGCAGTTTCTAAGGAAAAACGTCCAAAGCGGAGTGAAAATAGAAAAACACACACAGCACTTATAGGGCAAATACACATACAGCGACCTTTACGTTAGGCACTTTTAGTATAATTTCTGCTTTCCAGGTGAGGAAACTGGAGTTCAGGGAAACTGAGTAGCTAGCTAACACCACACAGCCAGCAAGAGGCGAACTGGGTTTTTCTGAGACAGGGTTTCACTACACAGTGCAGGCTGGCCTTAAACTCACCTATGTGGCCCAGGCTCGCCTCACATTCGTGGTGACCCTCCTGCCTCAGCCTCCAGAGTGCTGGGATTACAGGTGTGAGCCACCACGCCCAGCTCTAAGAGCCAGGTTTTGAACCCAGGGAGGCAGGCTTTAGAATCAGCGCACCTACCACTGAGCTACACAACCTCTTTGGGAACTGCAGAAAATCCTACACTTAATGCCAAGGTGTCATACAATGCACTCGATCCCTGCCTGACGGCCTCCTCACAAACACAGAGAGATTTCAAAGTTGTCAGCGCCCACAAAAGCCTCGGAGAGATTGAGGGGCTGTTCCAGAATAAAGGGAACGTTGAGCCAGCGCTGACTACGAGTGGAGATCCACCCTCCGGCCTTCTCTGCCCTGGAGTTAGACTGATTTTCTCCCTGGAGTCAGATTTGTCTGGACTGTGTAAGAGGGTGCCCTGCCCTCTGGCTTCCTGTTGGGTTTGGGGCACAGGGTGAGGTCCGAGGATGTAAGCCCTATTGCTGGCCAAACACCAACCAGCTTTCAGAGTCGGAGCTGGCCCTGTGATTGGCAGCTGACCACATACGCATAAGTAATCAACCAAGATCTGCACAAGACTCACCTTGCTGAGCCTAGCCTGAACTGCCATCCCACCAAATTTTGAGCTGTTTGTCTTTTAAGTCTTTTGGAGAAATCCATTATGTAGTATAAGCTAAATGATGCACAGATGTCCCTTTAAAAGGCCCAGAGTTCTTTTACTTTTATTTTTATATTTTTGTCTTTTTGAGACAGGGTCTCACTCTGCAGTTCAGGCTGGCCTTGAGCGCACTTTGTAGCCCAGGCTGGTCTCGAACTCAAAGTGATCCTCCTGCCTCAGCCTCCTGAGTGCTGGGATTACAGGTGTGCTCCACCATGCCCGGCAGCCCAGAGTTCTTGAGAAGCCCCTCAATACCCCGAGTCCTACGGTCTTCTCTGCAGACACAGCCAACCCCTGTGCTTTCCCATAATGCTCAGCGCCCTGACGCACATCCTGTTCAAGACCCCCGGATTCTGACTCTGTTTCCCTGTACCCGTGGCTTCCTGCAGATGGAAGCACGGCTCTCATCCACCCCCAGACACTGTAGGAAACACACCATCAAGCCCTGCTGTTTCTGGGTCCCCAGGATGTACAGGCTGCCGTCCGTTGGGTCTGAGAGAAAAGCCGTTCTGTGAGCAGAGAGGAAAAGAAACAAGGTTCAGGGCATGCTGCTGGCTTCACGAAGCCCCCATTCCCTCCCGCTTCTCACCTACCAGGAGCCCATCCTTTCGGGGAGAACTTGGAGCTCCAAGATGCTGCCCCAAATCACCCCCAGACACAGCTCTCCCTTATTTCCACCACATCTGCCTTCCCTAAACCTCCAGACACATACGGCTGCCAGCTCCCAGCTTCCCCGCTCCTGGAAGACCCCAGGTTCACTTACTCTGTGACGTACGTGGGTCCCTGGACGGTGGGCTCTGCAGGGACATGGGCATGGGCGTAAGTCTCCTCTAGGCTCTCATTGAAAAGCAAGGCTCAGAAGTCACTGAGCTCTTGCTGCCTGCTGGACACCAGGCCCAGCGTTTAACCCGCACACAGTGTCATCCTCCCAAGGATTCTGCCCGGCAGGGTCGTTACCCTTTGCCTCATCTTTTTTTTTTTTTTTTTTTCCTCATCTTATAGGTGAGGATATGAAGATGCCAAGGCTCAGAGAGGCGAAGCGGATTTCCCACGTCCGCACAGCTCGTAGGCGGTGAAGCTGCCTCTGGACACTGGCTTGTTGCAGCCTGTCAAAGTTCTCCTCCCCCAAACTCGGGGCCCGCGTGGCGAGAAATGGCCATCCCTCGCTTACCATCCTTGAGGGTCCACTTCAAGTCCCCCGTCTGCTTGCTCAGTGCATGGAGATTTCCATCCAGGGTGGACACCAGCAGGAGGTTCTCGGGCCTGAAGGTGTGGACCTGTGCCGGGCAAGTGTCAGCTTCTCGGAGAGGCCCGGGCCACCCCTCTCTCCCGCCCAGGGGAGGCTCTGACTCCTCGTCCCCAGGAAGAGGACAGAGAAGGAAAGATGGATGATTGGGAGGCAGCTGACCCCCCCACCATCCCCTGATTTTTTGGGGGGGTTCAGTGGGAGTTGGGGGCTCTGGGGTAGGAAGTGTCTAATTCCCACTTCCTTCCCTCAATTTCTTTTTTCTCCCAAAGGATTTTACAAAAGGACTTCACTGACTTTACAGCCGCCCTATGACATTGGGACTCGGCGTGTCCCCATTGTACAGGTGAGGAAGACTGAGGCTCAGGGAGATCAGCTAATTGGCCTAAAGCCACTCTGACTACAAATGGCACAACCGGGACTTGAACTGCCATCTCTCAGGCTCCAGCACCTGCTTTTCCCTTTGCCGCATGTCTGCTTCTTTGGAGATAACCTTCTCTGCCTCCCCAGACTGGCCCAGCTGCTTTTGGTGCCAGGCTCAAGCAGGTCCCCTGGACCACAGCTGGGGGCAGCTCAGGGGGCAGGTCTGGAGCTACCCTTACATCCGGCCCCTGCTGGGCTAACTCACCTGCTCTCCTCCCTCCTTAAGCAAACAGGGTGAGGCTGAGCTCACGGCAGGAACCCTAACATCCGGGTGGCCGGCCACTCCCCGAAAGGGCCACATCCTGCTGGAGGACCCTCGGGTTTGAGGCCCAGCCAGCGGTGTTTGGTGGAGAGTGAGCAAAACGCCTTCTCCCCCTCTTTTTCCTGGACTTCACTTCTGCCATCTGAAAGCCGCTGGGAGGGAGGATAGTCCAGCCGTGAGGCCGCAGACCCAGCTGCCTGTTTGCCCAATGCAGTGTTTAAAAAGTTGTTCCTAACTGGCTTCCAGTTTTCTGCAAATTGGAAGGTTTCACTTTTAAAAATTTGTTTTTGAGACAGGGTCTCTCTATGCAGTTCAAGCTGGCCTCGAACTCGAAATGATCCTCCTGCCTCAGCCTCCCGAGTGCTGGGACTGCAGGCGTGCACCACCACGCTCGGCTAGATTTTCAAATTGTCCTCGTTTCTAACTTTTCTAGAAACACCAGATCCGGTCACACTGGGCTCCCACGATTACCAGGAGGGCCCGGCGCTGGGAAGGGAGCTGGGGTCCCCAGAAGCGATGCGCGCCCCGACTTTGCCGCCGCACCCCGCCGCCCGCTCCCGACGCGCGGCCCTTCTCTGTCCCGGGGCAGGTGGCAGCCCGGCCCGAGGTCCCCGCCC